ATACATGAGGCCCTGGGTTCGATTCCTAAAAAAAAGCTGGAAGTGGCGCTGTGGCTCAAGTGGTAGAGCACTAGCCTTGAGCTGAAGAGCTGAGGGACAGCGCCCAGGCCCAGAGTTCAGGACCCACAACCGGATCCAAAGAAAATAAATAAATACGAGATAAGTCTCTTGAGGATTTGTCTTCCCTGGCTGGCTACAAACTTTGATCCTCAGATGTTAGCCTCCTGAGTAGCTAAGATTACAAGTATAAGCTATCAGCACCCAATTGTTTTTGGTTAAAAAAATTTTTTTAGCCAATCCTGTGGTTTGAGTTTAAGAGACTAAGCACTGTCCCTAAGATTTTTTGCTTAAAGCTAGCACTATACCACTTGAGCCACAGCTCCACTTCTGGCTTTTTTTTTGTTGGTTGTGGGTCTTGAACTCTGGGCCTGGGTGCTGTCCCTCAGCATTTCAGCTCAAGGCTAGTGTTCTACCACTTGAGCCACAGTGCCACTTCCAGTTTTCTGGTGGTTTATTGAAGATTAGAGTCTCAAGGACTTTCCTTCCTAGGCTGGCTTTTAACCTTGATCCTCAGATCTCAGCCTCCTGAGTAGCTATGATTACAGGTGTGAGCCACTGGCACCCGGCTCACTTCTGGCTTTTTGATTCTTAATTGGCGATGAGTCTCATGGGCTTTCCTGTCCAGGGTTGATCTCAACCTCCTCAATTTCTGGGATTACAGGCATGAGCCACCAGTGCCCAGCTGATTGTTTTACGCTAAAGATTATAGTACTCTTTGCTTGTAGAAGGCCACTGTGCAGGCATTCCCATGAATAGTCTCCAGCTTGTTATGGCCACATGAACACTCAAATGGCCCAGCAGAGCAGACAGCAGCAGCAGCAGCAGCTCAAGTACCGGATACCTAGTCTCCTCCAAGTTTGTCAGCTATATTCATTCCCTTAAAACCAAGGCTCCAACTGGTTCATAAGGGAGGAGAGCAAAGGCAAAGCTGCAAACCAAGTGGAGTCTAGTTATATTCTCAGTCTTTTGCTGTGACTTAGCTACAGGCCCAACCACTGTACCTCACCAATGGGACTTTCACAGAGCATCACGTCAGGGTGGAAAACAATCTATTTAATATTCTAAGATGAAAGGGAACTCTGAGAACTTCCTTTTTGTACAAGGTCATGTTCATATATATATTATCTATATCTATATATCTATATATCCAGGTAGCAGCAGCAACTACCAAAAAGGATATTAGAGCTGTCACAACACCAGTTACAGCTCCCATGGTAAAAGAGCCACTAAATATACCAAGAAAAATGCCAACTGACTTAAAAAAGGCAGCAGCATCAAAGGCATGAGTATTCAACCCTGCTGGCTGGTAGGCAACTATAGACCTGAAATTGACAGAGGATGGGGAGGAGGAAGGGAGGGAGAGAGAGAGAGAAAGAGTTAAAAAAGACTGTACTGGTTTAATATCAGAGTACAGTAGTCTCTTATCCATAATTTCAATTTTCAGTTTCATTTACCCAAGAGTTAAAAAATCACATGGAAAATTCCAGAAATAAACAACTTATAAGTTTTAAATTGTGTGCTATCCTAAGGAACGTGATAAAATGTCAAACCACCTGGCTTCATCCTACCCAGAACTCAAACAATTCTGTGTTCGGTGTATCCAGGCTGTATTTACTACTTGCCCTTTAATGGCTATTGAGATTAACAAATTGAGGTGCCTGTGTTCAAATAACCTTCATTTTAGTTAATAATGACCCAAAGAGAAGGAATAGTGATGCTGGAAATCAAATATGCCAAAGAGAAGCCATAAAGTTCTTTTCTTTTGAGTGAAAATGAAAGGGTAAAAGTACAATAAGATGTGTGTGTATATATATGTATATATATACACACACATTAAGATATACATATGTAATACATACATACAGATGCTTTACACACACATATATGTATAGAGAGAGAGAGGAAAGGAAAGGAAAAGAGAAAATGAAAGGAAAAAGGCAAGGAGTGAATGGGATGGGAAGAAGACGGGAGAGAAAATCTTGGTATATTGGCATATTGGCACATTGGCATAACTTTTTGTATATGTGATATATAAAATTTTTTCTAACAATTTTAATTGTATTATCAGTTGTTAATCTCTTTACTGTGTCATATATATGTATGTATAGGAAAACCCACAGTATACATAATGTTCAGTACTCTCTGTGATTTTAGGCATCCACTGATGGATAACAGAGGAATGCTATAACCGAACATAAATCTAGATAATCTATCCTCTAACAAACTCTACTCAGGGCAAAGTCATTGTATTTAATCGGTAGCCTCTGTGTTGGGCTGGTGTCAGCCTTCTTCTGATTGCTGCTAAGCAGATAAAAGCAGCATGACTTTATCACTAAGGCCATTAAGTCTCATTTAGAATAGGGCCCAATTCAATATCAAACACTTTCAGGGCAGCCCTCCACACTTGGCCCAAAGCATGCAGGAGCCCAAAGTCTCTCTACTCCAGCTACTTACGATGACAGTACAATGGCAACAGCATCGTTTAGGACGCTCTCTCCAAACAGAAGTGCATACAAATCCACGTCAGCGTGCAATTCATTAAATATCGCCAACACAGTCACTGAAAAGCGGATGCAGAACAGAGAAATTAATTTGGGTTTCTACCTATCATAAGCAGACAGCAAGGGAGCCAGCAATGGAGTCAAAGATGGGCTGTTTGTGTCTGTCAAAAAGGAATTGACAAACTTCCCAACTGACATGAGGTTGGATGCAGTCGAATGCACCTACATGGCTTTCTACTTGGAGAAGACAGTACAGACATGTAAAAACAAATCACCATTCATGTGATTTGGGTTTCTACTGAGCACTCTTCTCCCAGAATCCAGCACAGGCTCAGACACAAGGTGTGAGAAATAATGGAAATCTTCATCAGTGACAGACTGTATGTAATTGGTTTTTTTTGAGTCATGTTCTCACTATGTAGTCCATGGTGGCCTGGGACTTGGTATGAATCCCTGGCTGGCCTAGAACTTTGCATCTTCCTGGCTCAACCTCCTGAGTTCTGGGATTACAAGTGTGAAGCACCATGCAGGGACATAATTACACTTCTCAGAGTGTTCATATTTGTGAGGTATTTAAAAATTGGCTGTTCTCTAAATCAGCAATTTGCAAACTTTGGACTTCAGGATTCCTTTACATTCTTAATAATTGTTGTGCTTCCCCCCAAACAGCCCTAGTTTTGTGGGCTATCCACTACTGATATTTACTGTATTGAACAAAACAGTAAATATTAAATATTTATTGATTTAACTAATTTAAATATTTACTCATGATTCAATAATCATTACATGTTAACATGACATTTTAAATAAGAAGTAGTTATATTTTCTAAAACAAAAAATTGAAGGAGAGACACTTTTTTGCTTTTTTTTGCAATCTCCTTAAAATATACATATAAGTGGAAGACAGATGCTTCTCATGTATGTTTCTGGATGTGAGCAACATGACATGTCATTTGGCCTCCCAAAAACTCCACTGTATATCTAAGATGAGGCTGACAGTGACCAACACTACATTGCTGTTTTTTTTAAAATTGATTTTGCCTTGATATACCCTCTAAAAAGGTTTGGGGGACCCAAAAGAGACCAATAATGCATTGCTGTGTTTCTTAAATTGGTTTTGACCTTATATATCCCTTGATCCTTGACTTCTAGATCATACTATGATACTTCAGCTTTATTGACATTTGGGGCCAGATAATCTTTGATATGAGGGGTTAGCTTGCACATCACAGGATACTAGCAGCATCCCTGGCCCCAATCACCAGATGCTAGTAGCAACACCTCATTTAATCACAATTTTAAAAAAAACAGTCTTTGCTATAAGTTGCCTTGAGGGGGAACATGCAGTATTACCACCACTAGAGAATGGATGATATAGAATGTACATATGGGGGAGCTTTCTGTCTTGTCATTCACACCCAACCAATCACTTTCTCTCTTGGTGACTTCTACTCTTAGAATAAGAGTTACAAACTCAAGCTACCAGCTGGGCATAGTGGCTCACGCCTGTAATCGTAGCTATTCAGGAAGCTGAGATCTAAGGATTATGGTTCAAAACCACCTCAGGCAGACAAATGTGTGAGTCTTCCCTCCAAATAATCAGTAAAAAAGCCATAAGTGGAAACATGGCTCAAGTCATAGAGCATGAGTCCAAATCCTAGTACTGGCATAAAAACAAACAAACAACCCCTACAAACTCACATTCCCAGGTCCCCTTGAAAAGAATGTCATCTCTGCCTATGCAAAAGATTGTAGAGTGGCCAGCATATGCAGGAAGCTTGGGACAAATGACATGCTTTGAAACCCAAAGGTAGTGTGGTAGAGCATACTCAGATGCCTGATTGCAATGAAAACTCTGGCACCAACCCACAAATGGGAACCAAGATAAGTATCTATTGGTTTAAGCAGGTATTATTTAGGCTTTTCTGTTATATTTGTAGCCAAAAGCACAGCTAACTGATATAATAAGAGAATCAAACAAAATTAAAGCTTAGTTAAGTGAGATGGTTTTGGGGTGTGTGTGTGTGTGTGTGTGTGCGTGTGCGTGTGTGTGTGTGTGTGTGTATGCACACTCAAGCGCCAGTCAGTATTGGGGCTTGACTCAGGGCCAGTGCACTTTCCCTTAGCTTTTCTACTCAAGGCTAGTACTTGATCACTGAACTATTCTTCCACTTCTGGCCTTTGAGTGGTTAATTGGAGATAAGAATCTCATGGGCTTTTTCTGCCCAGCCAGGTTTCAAACCCCAATCCTCAGAACTCAGTCTCCTGAGTAGCTTGGATGTAAGCATGAGCCACCAGCACTCAACATTATTTATAAACCAGTCAATCATGTTACCATCACCTAGTTTAAGAATTATCCAATGTCCCCAAGGGACCCTCCCTCCCCCCGCCATGTATGCCCATCCCAATCTCAAACCACTTCCTCAAAAGGTACCACATCTGGATTTCACAGTTACTATTTACAGCTACATCTGGATTTCAGTTGCTATTTATTTGCCTTTCTTTAGTTTAATTGTCCAAATACACATTCCTTGTATGCTATCAGTTATGTTTGCCCTTTTTAAGGAAAAGGGGTTAATTATATCTGTCTCCATTCCCTTCTCTCAGCTCTTTGCTCACAATAGCCTATTGTTCACTTGTCCCATTTCTGAATTTTCTAACCATAATGCATGTGGTTCTTTCATAACTTACATTTGTTTTAGTTTTCTTTGGAGTTTGCTTCATTTTTCTCCTACAATACGTTTACATGAAGTTTTATCTCAATCTATTTCTGTTACTTATATTTAAGGTGAGGAGTAGAAGACGGTTCAAAAGGGATTTCCTTTGTTTTTCCCCTACCATCCCTTCCCTCCCAATGCTTGATAAGAAATGTACTCATTACCTTGCTCATGTAACTGTAACCCCTCTCTAAGGGGAGGGGGGATTTCCTAGTTTTGTGGCTCTAGGGCTCCCTCTTCTGGTTTTAAGTGGAACAATTAAAAATATGGGCTCCTTCCCAGTAGTTTCTGGGAACTACTGACTCCCAGGGCCCCTCCTCCATTAGTATATACTGTAATTTGTTTTTCTCCTTTTAATGACATCAATCAAGTTTTTGGTCTGAACAATTCCTCTTTAGAGTATGACTCTGACCAGAGAGATTTTTATTGGATATTTCTAAGAGCCCTGAGGACCCAGATCATTCCAGTGGACTCTAACCACCTCTAGTCTCCTTTGCATTCACCCATAAATTTGAGCATGGAAAGTGCTTTCCAGTTTTAATTGTAACCAGACAGGCCCACAATTCTTTACTCCCAGTAGAGACTGTTCCTTTAAACAGTAAAGATTGGTGGGGAATTTCTGAGCTCCCAACAGTCAAATGGTTAAAATGATCACTAGCCCTTTCTTATTCCCTACACAGCCACTCTTCTTATTCCTAAGTCCCAAGCTGTACTGAGATACTCTATAAGATTGTTTTAAGTCTGTGTTTTCTTCTTTTCCTGTCCTGTCTCTCTAAATTTGCTAGAAATTAAGAGAGATTTCAAAATGACACTGCCTCCAACATGACTTCCCTTTCAAAAGTGTAATACATTTATTGAGAATCTTCAAAAAATAGATTTGAAACAGGGCACCAGAGGCTCATGCCTATAATCCTAACTACTCAACAGGCTGAAATCTGAGGATCATGGTTCGAAGCCAGCCTGGGCACAAAAGTCTGTGAAATTCTTATCTCCAATTAAATCACAGAAAAAGCCAGAAGTGGCAATGTGGTTCAAGTGGTAAAGCACTAGCCTTGAGCAAAAAGAGCTCAGGGACAGCACCGTGGCCCAGAGTTTAAGCCTCGGGCCTGTCCAAAAAATCAAACCCCTGAAAACAAAGTTGAAAAATGTTTTCTATATCATGATATAACCCAACATCAGCAAGGTTCATGCCTATCAGCTATAGTTCTTTAAGGACAAGCCATTTTCATAACACAGTATCTTTCAAATACAATTTAGCACATTGTACAACAGGAAAAATCTTTAGAAATGAGGCTTTTAAAAAGTTATTTTCTGTTGTAATTGGTCCAACAATGAGATGTACATGTAGAAAAACAAACTTTATAACTTTGGTGGGTTGGGGGTGGGGGGGTGGTAGGGGGGTGTGGAGGTGGGGGGTGGAGAGGGGAAGGGATGGTATGGGGAAAACAAAGGAGTAGGCAACAATGCTTGATAAGAAATGTACTCACTATATTGACCATGTAATTGTAACCCTTCTGTATGGTATTTTCACAATAATAGTAATAAAAAAGAAAAAAGAAAAAAGTTATTTTTGGATTCTTTGTTACATGAATAATATTTGTGGCTTTTGATATTTTAAAAAAACTTTAGTAGTTTACCACTTTGTGGACAAAATTTGTCTTGTTTTCAACCCAGGTGTCAGAGAAAATTACCAATGATAATAACAGTACCAACTACTGAGGACTTACCATGAAGCAGAAACTATGCTATATTACAATCTCATTAGTCTGCAGGAAAGCCTATAAGGAGGGTAGTATTATTATTTCTCCCAATTTAGGGGTCTAGTCTGAAGGACTACTCTGTACTACAGCAAAAGTCAGTGGCTGAACTAAAGAGAAGTTTCACTTGTCACTCCTATCATACATCTATCATAGGTTGGCACAGCAGACATTTGTCCATTGCAATAAACATAGATGTGCAAGTATCTCAACTGTACATCAACTTACTATCCTTTCAATATACCTCCAGGCCTAGCATGGCAGGATGGTATAGTAGGTATATTTTAACTGTGTGTGTGTGTGTGTGTGTGCGCGCACGCGCGCGCGCGCGCACACGCGTGCTGGTCCTGCAGCTTGAATTGTGTGTGTGTGTGTGTGTGTGTGTGTGTGTGTGTGTGTGTGCATGCATGCTGGTCCTGCAGCTTGAATTCAGGACCTGGGTACTGTTCTAAGCTTTTTTGCTCAAAGCTAGACCTCTACCACTTGAGCTAAAACTTCACTTCCAGTTTTTTCCCCCCCTTTTTGGGAACTTAACTGAAGATAAGAGTCTTACAGACTTCCCTGCCTGAGCTGGCTTTGAATCGTGATCCTCAGATCTCAGCTTTCTGAGAAGCTAAGATTATAGGTGTAAGCCACCAGTACCTGGCTTTTATTTTTATTTTTTCCACCAACAGTGTTTAAGGGTTCATTTTCCCTTACAAACATTAGCTGTTGCTTATTTTCCTTGATGATATCCATTCTGACTGAGGTAAGGTAAAATCTCCATGAAGTTTTGATTTGTATTTCCTTGATAATGCCACCATTTTCTGAACATATACCCCAAATAGTCATGAAGACTGACCTGCATTCGAAGACCCATTAATACCTCCAATCACCGAATTCCATAGCTTAAATCACCCCGCTTTTCTAAATCTCATAAATAGTTCCAAACTCTATGCTGAGAGAGGTAGATTGAGACCTCAGTCTCCCACCTCCACACTCAGCTGTCTGGTAAATACAATCTTTGCTTCTGTAAAACTTGTTCAGAGATTGGCATACTTTGCTGCAGGCAGAATGGGCTTGGTTCACCATGATTCTCGAATTCTGCACTGAATTTTAATCTATTTTATGGCCCAAGTTTTCAAACAAAAAAATTTTTAGAAGGCTAGTAAAACACTTTAAATTTAACAAAATACATTTTACACTTCAGAAAGATTTCCATTTTAAAAGCAGTTAAAGTTAATGTCCTAATGGCTAATAAGTTAAAACGTTCAATTTTCTGGAACCTTCATTTATACAAAAAACTGCTGTGTCAAACTCTACAAGCTAAATAAAAATGATACAGCATCTAATGCCTTCCATTATTTTCTCCCATAGGATAGACCCAATAAAGGGAAGTAAACAATTACATAGACAATGTGGAAGAAATAAGCCTTTGTATCGAACTAAATGAAGCAACTAATAGCTCAGAAAGAGTATCAGTAATCTTTGTCACATGAACCTCCCTTTACTACTAATAAGAAGCTAAATAATGAAGCTATTGAAAACATAGCAGATTTTTCAGGCAGTTAAATACCTTTCTCACACCTATGAAGGGTCTATTTCTCAACAGACTTTCACATGGAGACAGTCACAGACAGAACAGTATTAAAATCACAAAGCTGCTTTTCAGGGTTCTGTTTAGAAACATGCTTGGGTAGTGAGGATCAGTTATTTATCTTTTAAAGAAACACAGTAAAACAAAAACAATTTGCCTGCATCAGATGGACACAGAGGCCAACATAATTATCAGATGCCATGCCCAAGGCTTTACATGTAGTATGGCATTTGATTGTCACAATAGCCCTAGGAAGCAGGGACCATTATACCCACTGGAGAAAACTGATGGAAGGAGAGGAGGGCCTGGGCTACCTGTTCATTGACTAGAAGAGCTAGTTACTTAACCTGAGGCCCACAACTCCACATTCTATCTTTACTTTCATGAACCAGGGTGCCTAACCTGGTTAGGCCACACCTCCATACTAATTTACTGGGGGTGTTTGTGAGACAATATACAGTAAGAAAAGTCATTTTTGGAACATTGAGATTCTTCAGGACCATACAACTGTTCCCCCAGTGCTGTGTTGTCCAATGTTTAGCCATTAATCACAAATAAAATTGCCTAACACTAAATGAAATCCAAAAATCAGAACTTTCCATCACATTTCAACTATTCAGTAGCAGCCTGTGAACTGAGCGCTGGTGGCTCACACCTGTAACCCTAGATACTTAGGAGGGTGAGATCTGAAGATGGAGGTTCAAAGACAGTCTGGGCAGGAAAGTCCTTGAGACTCTTTTCTCCACTTAACCACCAGAAAACCAGAAGCAGAGCTGCTGATAGTGGTAGAGCCTTAGCCTTCAGCAAAAGAGCTCAGGAACAGTATCCAAACTCTGACTTCAAGCCCCAAGACAGAAAAAAATTTAAAAAAAAAATAACCTACGACTAGTTGTTGCCAAAATGGATTGAGAAGATTATAGAACATTCTATCTTACAGAAGATCTATGAGATAACATGAATCCAGAGGATCCCCAAAAGGCATGGTCAAGTGGAAAATGCTGATAACTTTTAAGATTATCATTGTAAATAATACCATTGACATAATACATCATTATTAATAACATATCAATATATCATACTGAAATAATATACAATGATGCATTGTACTATTTATTATACAATGTATCATTATATCATTGTATGAGTTTCCACTGATGAATAGATCAGTAAGCAAAATGTTTTCCATCCACATGACAGTATCATTCAGCCTGAAAAGAAAGAAAATGTTGCTAGATATAACAATGTGGACAAACCTTCTAGACAGGATGCTAAGTGAAATAAAACTATCACCATTAGACAACTGTATACTAAACAACAATACATTGTATAATATATCATTGTTACTGAGCATTGAAGCCATTGTAAAGTCCTTTCCCTCTCCACAGTCAGGAAGGACTAGTCCTTTCTCCATATGTTCTTTCCCAAGATGAACAGTCAGCCTTTTAGGATCCTCTTTGCCTCATAGATGCTCAGGTCCCTTGCAGAAAAGTAGTATAGCTTTTGCATATAACATATCCTATTGTACACTTTTAAATCACATATTCATTACTTATAATATAAAGAGATTTAAGACTAGAAAACTATATCACAATTGGAAACTACACAGGAATATTACAAAAAAAGGGGTTTACAAATTCAACTGCATTCTCTACAAGTATTCATTTATGTTTCCACTAAGATATAGTATTACTTAAAGCAAATGATAGGTATCTCCAAAGCACACAATACTGAGAAAGAAGACAATCTAAGGGTAAAACTTAGATCCAAATTAGTCATTCTAAAACACGGGTGGCGGGGGTGAGGGGAGCTAAACATAGATAGAAGGTAGAGGCTGAAATCTGATCACTGTGATTCGAATCCAGCCCAGGCTGGAAAGTCTGAGATTCTTTTTTTGGGGGCGGGCGGGGTCCGGTAATGGGGCCTGAACTCTGGGTGCTATCCCTCAGTTTTTCAGCTCAAGGCTAGCGCTCTACCACTTGAGCCACAGCACCACTTCCAGCTTTTTTCTTTTTGCTTATGTGGTGCTGAGGAATCGAACCCAGTGCCTCAGGCATGCAAGGCAAGCATAAGCCACTGAGCCAACTTCCCAGCCCCAAGTCTGAGATTCTTATCTCCAATTCTCCACCAAAGTAGAGTTGTGGCTCAAGTGGCATAGCACCAGTCCTGAGCAGGAAAGCAAAATGAGAACATGAGGCTGAGTTCAAATCTCAGTATCTGCAAAAATAAATAAATAGACAAGTACAGTATGATTTTACAAACCTGAGGTATGTATAGTAGTCAAGTTCATAGGGACAGAAAGAGAATGGTGACTGCTAGGGGATGGAAGGAAGATAAAAGGGGATCTGTTTTTTAGGGGGCATGGTTGTATAACATGCTGAAGTACTAAAGCTTTGGTTGCCCAATGATGTGAAAAAAACTCTAGTGAACTGTATACTTTAGAAATAATTAAGATGCATAATAGCCAAGTTATGGAAACAGCCAAGATGCCCTACAATAGATGATAAGTGTATAAAAAATGTGGTAGCTGTACACAATGGAATTTTGCACAGCCATTAGAAAGAATAATATTGTCATTTGCAGGGAAATGGATGGACCTAGAAAAAATCATGTTAAGCCATGCTCAGAGAAACAACACATGTTTTCTCTCATATGCAGAAATCAGATCTAAAGTACACTGGGATATGATAAATTATACAGGACTCTAGGCATCCACACACAGTGAGATTAATGTCTCTCTGCCTCTGATCATATAAAATAATATTTATCAAAATGAACTCCAGGAAATGGAAAGAGGAGAGATTTTTCTTTGGTTTGTCTTGCTTGTTCATTTATTTCTCTTTGGGAGAGTAAGGAGAGGCACAGAAATGGAGGGACAAAGGGTGAACAAATGCAGCAATAGTACTCAGTGGACACTGTTGAAAATGAACTATACAATCTGTGGGTGGAGCAGAGGGAAAAGCGGGGGAAGAGCGAAGGAAGAGGTAATTTATGAAACTGTAACACCTCTGTACTTCACCATAATAAAAATAAAAATATTTTAGAAATAAATAATTAGATAGTAAGTTCTATCTTGTGAATTTTTGTGGTGGTCCTGGGGTTTGAACTGAAGATTTAGGTGCTTGTCCCTGACCTTTTGTGCTCAAGGCTAGTGCTCTACCACTTGAACCATGTCTCCACTTCTGAGTTACTTTGTAGAAAATTGGAGAGAAGAGTCTCGCAGATTTTTCTGTACAAACTGTCTCTGAACTGCAATCCTCAGATCTCAATCTCCTCAGAAGCTAGGATTGTAGGCATGAGCCACCTGCATCTGTCTTACGTTGAATTTTTACCCCAATAACAAACTAATAAAAAGTCTAAGTCAGTATTCCATTTTTCCTATTGCAAAAAAAAGTTCATGACTGTTCTGAACTCTGTAAGATTTAAATAATAGAAAACCATAATGTTTGAGCTAAGTATGCAAATACCTGGGTCAGTTGCAGAGATAATTGCTCCAAAAAAGAGACAATCTGTGTAGTAAAATTTATCAGAGAGCTGGCCCACAATCTTCATAAGCTTCACCACGCCATACATGAGATTTCTGTAAGAAAGAAGGTGAAGAATGTCAAGAGAACTGTTTGCAAGCATGCAAGCAGGAGATCTGTAAAAGTAATAGGCAGTGGATATAGCTAGACACTTACTAGGACTACAGGCAAGTAGGACTTTAGTACCAAGTAAAGGCTTGTAGCTAACTCCATTATACTGAAACACATAGCTACCTCAGTTTTACAGCTGTGCTCACTAACCAGAGCAGCCTAGAAGTATAGTCTTTGATCAGCAACAAAATTAAGGTCTCTTAAACCACTAGATAATAGGAAGAAATAGGAAATATAGACCTCAAAATTATAGGTAAGAAATTGCTAGAAAACACAGACAAGAATAGTATATTTCAAATCACAGGGATAGTGGGTGGGAAGAAACTGGAGAGAAATGAATGGGTTAGTCACAAACATCCTAGTAACTGACCTATTGTTTATCACCTTCTCTACCCAGAATGATAGTAATGGAGTGAGAAGAGGCAAACCTCTGTAAACGTCCTGTTGAAACTTCTGAGTCCCATCAACCAATATGGACAATTGCTTTGCCTGGAGTGCAGGCAGAACAGGGCACACACCCCACAACAGCCCTTTCTGTGTTATGTATAATATAACCTAGTACAACAAAAAGTACCAAGTTTATCTTTTTTGTCAGTCCTGGGGCTTGAAGTTGGGGCCTTGACGCTGTCCCTGAGCTCACTTTTGCTCAAAGCTAACACTCTACCACTTTGAGCCATAGCTTCACTTCCAGTTTTCTGGTGGTTAAATGGAGATGAGCATCCCATAGACTTTCCTGCCTGGGCTGGCTTTGAGCCTCAAACCTCTGATCTCAGCCTCCTGAGTAGCTAGGATTATAGACATGAGCCGGCACCCGGCTAAGGTCAATTTTTCAGCTCAGCCTAGACATATTTCCTACATGACAGCTTAGAAAATGTGAACAGTGAGGGATGCTAAAAAATAAAGGACTAGCACATGTTACAAGTGTGTGTGTGTGTGTGTGTGTGTGTCTGTGTGTGTGTGTGTGTGTGTGTGTGTGTTGGCAATAGCAGTGGTAACATCAAAAAATACTAGCACATGTTACGTGTGTGTGTGTGTGTGTGTGTGTGTGTGTGTGTGTGTGTGTGTGTGTGTTGGCAATAGCAGTGGTAACATCAGCTGTAGACGTTAGGAAAGTAAAAACAACTGTGGGGTTTACTTATTGTACCCACCAGCCAAGCCTTGATAATTTGAGATTTGTAATGAGGAAGGACTGACCATTCACTGGGTACCTTTATATCCTAGATGCTGACACCAGTAGATTGGCTAAGCTAGGAATCCAAGAAGGATCTGCAGAATAGAATCCTTATGAAGAAAACTGGCTAGAATTGAATGCTTGCCTCATGTGAGCTAGGCACTCTTCCAGACACTTAACAAGTCTAATTTCAGTCCATAGCAACTTCGTAGTAACTGATTTGATTTGCTCTTTGTTGCTCCTCAAAGGCTTCTTTCACCTATCTTTCAAACATTTCCAGAAACTAGACCTTCCCCTACATTTCTTTTCAGAACAATCTAAGACCTGGGCAACAGACTTCTCTGGTGGACTTTCCCCATCTTGCCTCCCCTTGCCACTAATATATGCTGGGCAGACTGTTGCTCTTCAGAGACATGTCACCTTGTAAACAATACACTCTGTACCTCTCCTTTTAAAAAATAAAATAAAAGCCCTTAAAATAAATAAATAAAAATCTCTTGTTCTTAATCTCTAATATTTTTTAATAAAAGTTCTGGGATGGGCATGATAGCTCATGGTCTTTAATCCAAGCTACTCAAACGGCATAGATCAGGAGGATGTAGTTAGAGGTCAACCCAAGCAAAAAGTTAACGTGATCCTTATCTCAACAAATAAGCCAAATATGTTGGCACTTGCCTGTTTTCCTAGCTACATGGGAGAGAAAAAGAGGAGGATCATGGTCCAGGCTAGCCTAAGCAAAAAGTATGAGACTGTATCTGAAAAATAACTAAAGCAAAAAGAGCTGCAGGAATGGCTCAATTGGTAGAGTGATTCTGACTAGCCAGCATAAAGTCTTGAGTTCAAAACTCAGTACTACAAAAAAATTAAAATTAACTTATGATTTTCATTATTTCCTTAGTTTTACTTAATGCTCTTTTCTATTTCAGGATGCCATCTAGGCTATAACCTGACTTTTAGTTACCTAATCTCTAAATTTAATCTTCTCTTGATTATAACAGTTTCTCAGACATTGCTTGTTTTTAACAACGTTGGCAATTTTGAGTAGTACCGGTTAGATATTTTGTAGAATGACTTTAAGGTGAAGTTTTCTTGCTTTTTTTTTTCTAATGGTTACTGAGGTGATGTTCTGGGGTAGAAGACAAGAAAGATAAAGTGCCCTTCTCATCACAAATATTGCGAGCACATATTAGCCAAACTAGTATTACTATAACCCTAGCTACTTGAGAGGCTGAGATTGGGAAGATCGTGGTATGAGGCTAGCCTGGCAGAAAAGTTTGAGAGACCCCTTCTCAATGGCTATCTGAACAAAGTAGCATGTCTGTTACCCTAGGTAAGTAGGAAAGAAGTCTAACATAGGTGGATCATGGCCACAGCATGTACACAGGGAAGTGAGATTCTATCTAAAAAATAACCAGCAAAATGAGCTGGAAGCATCACTCAGTGATAAGAGCACCTACCTAGTAAGCATAAGGCCCTGAGTTCAAAGCCTAGTATCACCCTCTCAAAAAACCAGTACATGGTTCATCTCCACTGATGTTGATCACCTGGCTCAGCTTTCTCCATTTAGAAACTACACTTCCTCTATACTCTTTGGAGAAATAACTATGAACTCAAAACTAAGTTCTGTGAGAGGCTGGAATAGGGGGACTACATTCTATGTCCTTGAAAGGAATGTATCTTTCTTTTAAAAGCCTACATTTGGAAAGTAGCACAGGACACCTGTCTCTTCTCCTCCACTAATTTATTCATCTGAACATTTAACTATATCAGTGTGGTCTCAAGGGTATTTCTTTTATAGTTTGGGTGATGGTCTACTAGAAATTGATTTATTTGTTGTTTAGCCAGGGTGGGGCCCTGGCCATTATGGGGGGCCTTTAAGTTGCCTCTACTGTCCCTTTGAAAAGCCCTACATCCTTCCACTTGTCTGAATGTCTTCTAAGTACTTGATTTTTTTTTCCTGAGTCACAAGATGCCCCATCTACATAAACATTTCCTGTCCCAGCTCTGGAATATACCATTTCTACAAGGGGCTCTCACTCTTTTTATTGGAGAATGACACTAGAAATCAACATCTGGGAACTAGGAGCTATTTTATTTCATTTTAGTTAATCTTAATTGTAATCAAAAAAGCCACATGTGTCTAACATCTCCAGTACTGGCACACAACATCTGGACACCAGACTGTGGGTAATCACACAGATCTCATCTCTTTCGGAAATTGAGTTAATTGACTTGTATGACCAAGATTCACTTACCCAATAATGAAGCAGGAAACTGCAGTTCCCAAAAAGGCATAGGCCAGAATAGAGCCAAGATTTCTGAAAAAATGTCTCTGAATAAGACAAAACAAAACACACAGCAATTATATTGTGATTTTCACAGTTAGCATAAGAAGAACTTTATGAGTTTCTAAAACCTGAAAGCCCAGCTGGGGTCATAGTTCAAGTGGTAAAGTACTTGCTTAGCATGCACAAGGTCCCAAGTTGTATCCTTAACACCATACCAAAAAATCCTTGAAACTCTACCTAGTGTTTCTATTACCACAAGTAATATCTGAAGTGACTCCTGAATAATGCTGTAAACATCATGGTTTTAAAATATTCTCTGCACTGTCAATCACTGAGCAAGTGAGCAAGGGCTTAGTAAATTTTCAGACAAAATTACTCCGGTTAACTATATTAAATATATTGAGGGCTGGGAAGGTGG